GGAGGGAGAATTTTATGTCAAGGGACCATGCATTGTAGTGTTATAAAAAAGGCCATACAACTAGATTTTAGATTTGATTTGCGAATGCCAAAAAAATGGATGTCACAAGAATCAAGAGTTATAAGATTAGGACTCACATTTATGAAAACTACTAACAGATATATATGGCTTGGATGTTTTGGAAAAATGGAACAAAAATTTTTTTTTTCTCAACTAAGAGAGTACTCCGTCCCAAAATAAAGAACAAACCAACACAAGCCCACTGGATCAAAGTGCTTGTGAGAGCATCACTCGGAAGATTACATAAATGCCCCTTATATCTTAATCCACAAAGGAAATCCCCTGCTTGCAAGACTACACCCCTCCTTTGCAATTTGTCTTTTTTGTATAAGTTCATAAAAATTAGGCATATGAGTTTCAAACCAATTGGTAATATGCACTTCTTGTATCTATCTCTTCTATGTGGAATTTTTTCATTTAATATGCTCTTTTTATATGTGCAGACTTAATATAAATATCAAATACTATTACGTAGTTTGTTGTCTCCTTATATGTAAATTCGATATGAACTTTTGAATTTTATTAAGTGGATTAACAACAAACTTCAATATTATGCATGTAGGTTTTAATATAAAATTTGTATTTAATTTAAAAATAATTTAACTATAAGTGAAGTAATTATTTTTATATTTAATTCAAATATTTTTTTTATTATAATCTTATTGTGAGATTTTTCAATTTAACAAAATTTTTTCTTTACTTGCTTCTTAATTAAGTAAAGAAGCTGTTGTCAAATTGAAAAATTAATGACAGCACGGAAGTAGAAGCTAGGAAAAGGTACTTTTAATTCCGTTGGTTCCTCTCAAACCACACAAATTATACAATGTCGTGGAAAGACATGTGATATGAGTTAATGCTAAAATTTTCCTTCGTCCTTAAGCGAAAGGGATATGAGCCAACAACCTGTACTAGGTTGAACAAGTGGCCGTGTACTCTATTGGAATCTTGTGACGATATGTGAAGGACGTGGACATAAACCTACCAGTTTAGCTTGACTCCTGTCGTAGTGGAGCAAAGAGCCTTTTAGCCAACTAGAGGTTTTACTTAATTGGTTTGCCTTTGTTATATACTCCGTAGCCAATTAGCCAGCAACAAGACAACACATACATTTCATTGTCCGCGAGTCATATCATAGGCTTAATTACTTTTTATACAGATGGATGGAGAAGAATGATTTTTGAAAGCAACGCAGGTTTTGATTATAAGAGGTTGGAGACTTGGGTCGGGTATCCTGATTCATTTAATAAATTTTATTATACTGATAAAAAAAATACTAAGTACATTATAGACACAATAATAAATACTAAGTTCATGACTTAAAAAAATTTTCTTTCTAAACCCTATTCATTATTTATTTGTTTTAATTAATTATTCTATCACAAAAGTTATGTCTTTATCTTTTAGTTTTTTTTTTAAAGTTAATATAAATAAATACATAAATTATCTTTAAGTCCTTAATTTTAAAAAAAAAAGTAAAAAAAAAATTATTGTAAGATAAAAAGAGTATAAAATTCCAACTTTTAAAAGGATTTTGTATAAATAATAACACAAATTCTCAAAACTTTACTAATAAAGGATATACTAACTTTACAACTTTACTAAAGAACCATCACATATGTCAACATGCGCATTCACTTAATTTTGATTTAATAATATTAAAGTTATTTTTAGTCTTATTTTTTTAATAATTATGATAATGCATTATAAAAACACATACAATAAATTAAGGCTTCGTTTGGTTTTGAATTCTTTGTTTGAGTTTTTTAAATTCAAATAATTAAAATTAAAAATTAAAAATTAAAAATCTCATTTTATTATGTATAAAATTTTAAAATAAATATCCAAAACTCCAAATTTAATTAATTTATAGAACTAATTAATTTTATTTTAAAATGTTAAAATTTTAAAATTTTAAAATTTTTAAAATTTAAAATTACAATCATATATACTAGATAGAGTCTAAGTTTTTTATTTAAAGTTATGAAATTTATTAAAATTAAATGAAGTCTAGATAAAT